CACCAGCCACTGCTCAGAAACTATACGAGGTCACTATGCGTTAGAACTGACTCAGCTGCACTAAACAACAACAACATACAATACGTGGTCTTTTGTGTCTAGCTTTAGCATAATGTTTTCAAAGTTCATGCTGCAGCATGGATCAGTATACTTCATATTTTATGACTGAATAACATTTCATTTTAAGATTATACCATATTTTCTTTCTCCATTTATCAGTTGATGAGTATTTAAGTTGTATTTACTTTTTTTTTTTCTTTTTTTAAAGTTTTTATTGTGAATTGAGTGAAAGTTTACAGGGCACATCATCAGTTTTACCATTCAACAAATCATACATCTTGTTTCATTACGATGATTATAATCCCCTCCATGTACCTTCAGTTAACAGTATTTCTCTCTATCCACTTTAGCTTTAAAAACAACAACACTGATGCATATATAATAATTTATACCTCCAAAGGGCACATTCTACAAGTCTGCCTCCTGCCCACCAACTTTTAGTCCCTCTCTTCCCATGAATCTAGAATCATCAGCCGCTCCCCCTCTCCATGACCCCATCTCTGCCTCCGTCTATGGTATTGCTGTTTCTCTGGATAGGGTCCCTCATTCTGCTTGTGCTCTTCTTCCTTGATGGTCCTAGGGTCCTCTGTTGCTGGACTGTAAGATTAACCACTCCCCTGTTTTTGTTACAAAACATCTACCTTTACAATTGTGACAGTCACAATTAGTCATGATAATAATAACTCACTATTGAATCATACGAATCTTATCCCCATCTCTTTTCACCAGACCCACCTAGACAAGATGAAAAGTATTCAGTGGGAACTCTTTCTTTCCCTCCATACTCTTAAATTAAGCTCCCTCTTGAAACCTTGTAAGCCAGTCACTTCATGCCCTTATTGCCCCCTCATTTTATTTATTTATTTAAAATGTTTTATTGTAAATTGTGTGATAGTCTACATGGGAGAACATTAGCTTTACATTCATTCCATCATCTATCATTTCATTGGCATAGTTACCATCTCGTACACGCTTCCTCACCCAACCAAAGGGTGTACCCTGTAAGCCTGCACCCCCCCCCCCCACCACAGTCCTCAGCCGCTTTCCATCTCCTGATCCCGAGTCCCCAGCCACACCATCTCTTGACGTTGTCTTCTCTGCCTCCATCTCAGGCCTCACTGCTTCTCTGGGTAGGATCCCGCTCTCTGCTTTTCTCCATTGATGATCCTAGGGTCCTCCGCTCCTAGACTGAAAAGTTAATCACTCCCCTCCTTACTACAAAATGTCCATCTTTAGATTTCCAACCCTCACAATCAGTCCTGATAACAATTATTCACTATTGCATCACAAGAGACCCATCTGTATTTTGTTTCATCAGCCCTTCCTGGACAGGCTGGATACCACTCACTGGAGACTCTACCTTCCTCCATGCCCTTTGGATCTAGGTTCCCTCTTGAAAGTTTGTAAGCCAGTCACTTCTTACCTTTGTATCCCTCCCCCCATTTTGGGTAGCCAATGTCCAAGTTGCCCATCCCTGTCTACCCTTTGTGTGGAGGGGGTGGGAATAGTTCTTGCAACAGGAATTTGTTTCCTCTTTTGAGCTACAGCATTTATAGGTGTAGGTTTGCCCCTTATTTTAGGTAGCCAATGTCCAAGTTGCCCATCCCTATCTACCCTGTGTACAGAGGGGATAGGATTGATACTTGATGTGAAGGACTCCTTCCCTCTCTGTTGGTATTTAGAGTTACTACCTCTATGAGTATAGGTCAGCGTCATCAAATTGAAGCAATTTACCCTTGTTTCCTTTATCCAAAAAAAATTTTTTTTTGTTTTTTTTTGTTTGTAGTCTTCCTCTAGTCAAGTTCTGATTATTCAAGCCACCAAGGCTAGGTTAAATGGGAAGTTGTATTTACTTTTTGGCTGTGATAAAGAATGCTGCTATAAACATTTTTGTGTACACATTTGTGTCTAGACTTATGCTTTCATTTCTCTTGGGTATATGTACGTACCTAGGAGTAGAATTGCTGGGTCATGTGGTAACTCTGTGTTTAAACATTTGACAACAGCCCAACTGTTTTATAAAGTGGCTGCACCATTTTATAGTCCTACCAGTAGTGTATAAAGGTTCTAATTTCACCACATCCTTGTCAGTATTTGTTATTATCTGAATTTTTTATTATAGCCACCCTAGTGGGTACAAGGAGCCCTGGTGTGGCACTGCAGGTTAACGTGCTGGACTGCAAGGTCATTTTGCACTGCATGGGCAGTGGTTCAAGTTCACCATTCACTCCTTGCAAACCCATACAGGGTTGCTATGAGTTGGAACTGACTCAACAGCACATAACAACACAACAGTACGTGTAAGGAGTTGTGGTGTGGCGCTTCAGGATAATGTGCTGAATCACAAGGTCAGTTTAAACCGCAAGGTCAGTGGTTCAGACCCACCAGCTGCTCCCAGAGTCAGAACTGACTGGAAGGCACTTATCAACAACAGTGGGTATAAAGTGGTAGCTCAGGTGGTAGCTCATTGTGGTTGTGATTTGCATTTCCCTAAAGACTGGTGTCAAGCTGGAAGATAAGATAAGCACTAGACCACTGCTCCTGGGAAACGCTATTACAGAGTTGCTATGAGTCGGAACCAGACTGCGAAGCACAAGGTCAGCAGTTCAAAACTACCAGCTGCTCCGCAGGAGAAAGATGAGGTGGTCTGCTCCCGTAAAGATTTACAGCCTTGGAAACCCTGTGCAGGGTCGCTATGAGTCAGAACCGACTCCATGGTACTTACCAACAACAACAATGTGTCGGAAAGGAGCTCTGGTAGCGTAGTGGTTACGAATTGGGCTGCGAAGCACAAGGTCAGCAGTTTGAAACTACCAGCTGCTCCGCAGGAGAAAGATGAGGCGGTCTGCTCCCATAAAGATTTACAGCCTCAGAAACCCTGTACAGGGTCGCTGTGAGTCGGAACCAACTCCATGGCACATAACAACAACAACAACATGAGTCGGAATTGACTCTACGGCACTTAACAACACAACTGTGCATATAAGGAGTCCTGGTGTGGCGCTGCAGGATAATGCACTGGACTGCAAGGTCAGTGCTTCAAACTCACTAGCCGCTCTTTGGAAACCCTATACAGGGTCTCTATGGGTTGGAACTGACCCGAAGATAACTTAAAAACAACAAAATCTATAGGCATGTTTTCACATGCTAATTTTCATCTGCTTATCTTCTTTGGAGAACTGTATTCAAGTCCTCTGCCCACTTTAAGAATTTGGTTATTTGTGTTTTTATTATTGTCATGTTGTTAAGTGCCATCGAGTTGGTTCAGGTAGTGACCATGTATAGGGGTCCGAGTCCTAGGAGTTCTTTATATATTCTAGATGCAAGTCCTTTATCCAGATGTATGACTTGCAAAAGAATGCTTTCCATTCTATGCATTGCCATTTCACTTTTTTGGTGATGTCCATTACTCAATTTGAACTGAGTTGTTGTTGTTAAGTGCCGTCAAGTCGGTTCCGACCCATAGCGACCCTGAACAGGGTTTCCGAGGCTGTAAATCTTTACAGGAGCAGAAAGCCTCACCTTTCTCCTGCGGAGCAGCTGGTAGTTTTGAACTGCTGACCTTGCAGTTCGCAGCCCAATTCGTAACCACTATGCTACCAGAGCTGAATAAAACAGGCAAAATTGATGTGGGGCAGATACGTAGCTAAATTAAGACTTTGCATCCTAGATCCCTGCTAGCAATCTATGCTGTCTCCTTTAGCAACAACAGAATTGCTTACAGGCAACCAGCACTTGTCACATGTTTGATAAAATACCAAAAAACAAAGAAACATTAAAGACAAATTGAGGAAGGGAATGTAAGATTAGGTCCATATAAACAGCAGGAGTCAATAAAGCAGGTTGGCATCACTATCCAGAGCTTGTGATCCTCAGTGCCACCCCAGGGGCATGGTGGATGAGTACCTTCACAAGTGTAACGTAATATAATCTCTCTTGATGTTGAAGAAGAGGAGCTGTGGCATTTGGGAGGATGTACTTTGCTCCACAACATTTGTTTAAATCTACAAATGTATCATAATATTTACCACATCTGGATTTGTGTGGAATGCTGAGGGTTTCAGCCATGACATCATTATTATTGGATGGGTGCTCTCTTGCTCTGCACCCGGCATCCACTCACGGGAGATGTAAGAACTTTTAATGGCGGAAAGAGACCTTCCTGTTTGCACTTGGTTGTTTGCTACCTAGTCGGTTCTGACTCATAGTGAGTCTGCATAGGGTTTCCAAGACTATAAATCTATATACAAAAGTAGAAAACCTCTTCTTTCTCCTATGAAGCAACTGGTAGATTTGATCGAACTGCTGACCTTATGGTTAGCAGCCCAACTACCCACCATGCTCCCAGGGCTCCTGTTTGCACTTAGAGATCCAGAGACAGGGAAATCCTAGGCCTGCTCCCTTGTTAGCCCTGAGGGGTAACAACTAGAGAATTCTGATGGGCATGTTCCAGAAACCTACTCTCTCAAAATCCAAAAACAGCTTTTGCTGGCATCTGGTCTTTCTGGGACACTGATATTTTTATTTATAAAATGATGCCTTTATCCCCAAATAGATTCTTAACAGGCTTGTTCTGTTTGAGGGGTGTCTGAAGCTCACAACTTTTGCTCTGTGGCATCTCAGGATAATGCTGGAATGACAAGAGGTCCCTGGCCTATGCCAGAAACAGCGACAGGAAGGGATTTGCCAGTCAGGAAGTCAAGTAACCTGTCTTTATATCTGGAAATTGGTTTCTGCATGACTTTTATCCCCTGCCCTCACAATCTTGTCCAGGAGGTAGAAACTCCGTTAGCAGTAATGACCCCTGAAAGGGGAGCAGGTAGGCAATGAAGCCCAGCAGTCCCTTGCTTTTCTGTTCCCCTCCTCCTTTGTCTTTACTCTGTCCATTCTCTCAGCCTCTCCCTGCCAAGCTTATTAGCTTTCTCTTTTTTATCTTCCAGCTTCCCAACATGTTTGGTGATCTTCGGTCCACTTTTATTGCCTTGATGATTGGGTCCTACGCCTCCTCAGCAGTTACCTTCCCAGGAATCAAGGTGAGGGTGTGGTCAGCAGGTTTTCTTGCACCTGCACTTGGGTTTGGTGCCACTATTGCCAGTGTTCTGCGTACAGCCTTCACACACACACACACACACACACACACCCAGGCTTTCTGAAGAGAGAAGTCAGTGTGGGAGGTTGGGCTTGCCCTTCCCCGCCCCCACGCCCACCTGGGCAGGATGCACCTGGGAAACACAGGCAAGAGAAGAGAAAACCGCTGACTGGTTGTTAGAAAATTCAAGCATATCACTGCAGGTTGTTCCACAGGATGCCTTTGCATTTCTGGTTGGGGTTGGGAGAGGTGGGGGTAGGTGAATTCATGATAGTCCTGTGTCTGCCTCCAGTCTCCCTACTCCCCAAACCTGTTGTTGTTGTTGGGCTGTTGCTCCTCATTTGCTGAAGCGCAGTTCTCTGCCAAGTTGCTTCAGCTGCCTCCCTTCCAGGCAAGATCCGGAGCCCGTGGAAGTCACACAGGGTCAGGGTGAAACAAACACCTCACAGTTCCTCAGCCCCAAATCTTACTCCAAATACTGCTGCTCCTATGAGAGCTACAGATGGAGCTTCATCCTCCTCTGGTCCCAGCTCTTAAGTGGAAGTTTCCTCCTGAGGCACTGGAGGGGGGGTGGGGAGGACTCTCTAGAGGAAGACAGAGCCACGAATGCAGACCTAGGGGGTCGAGGTGATTGCATGGAGGAGTCTACCAGTCCCTCCTAGTACTTTGGTGACCTCTGTTTGGGTGCTGGAAAGAAATAGCAATAGTACCAGTAACTGCTAACATGTTCTGCCAGGATTATACCATTAACCCACCACACCATGAGGACACATGCCAGGGTTATTATGCCCATTTCACAGAGGAGCAAAATGAGACACATCTGTTTGTTCATTCCCTGAGTTTTTTGTGCACCGTGGGCAGTCTTTTAGACACCGAAAAAAAAACATCAGTGGGTGAAGCGAGGATGCTGCTCTTCTCCTGGGCTAGCAACAGGCCAGTCACTGAATCCAGAGACACAGCATGTCCGCACAGTGGAATGTGACAGCCAGGGGTGGGGTTCAGGGGAGACCTCTCAGAGGAGGTGACACTTGACCCCATTTGGAAGCAAGGGGTTTAGCAACATGCTAAGGCCAGATAACTAGCTAGTGGGGGCTAGTTGAGATGATCGGAAGGCCAGATAGCTGATGACTGAAGGCCTCAGATGGTGGCAGGGCCATGCCTCCTGTGCACTCTCCTTGGTCTCCTGGGTCAGAATAAAGCCAATGCCTCCCAGTTCAGCCCCAGCTCTTACTCCAAATCCTGTGGCTTTTGTCAGCGCCACAGAAATGGCTTCTCCCTCCTCTGGGCCAGCTCTAGCTCCCCTCTGCTAACTCTGTCCCCTCTTCTCCTGTCCCTCTCATCGTGTCTGTCAGGTCATCTATGACTTTGGTGCTTCCTTCATCATCATCCTCGTGGTCTGGGCCGGCTGCTCCGGCCTGGTTTTCCTCAACTGCTTCTTTAACTGGCCTCTGGAGCCCTTTCCAGGGCCAGAGGACATGGACTACTCGTAAGTAGGCATACTTCTCTCTGTCCCCATACCTGTCCCAACTGGGGTCCCCAGCAGCGTGGACAGACATCCTCCCATCCCTTTCAGGGTAAAGATCAAGTTCAGCTGGCTGGGCTTTGATCACAAGATCACAGGGAAGCAGTTCTACAAGCAGGTGACCACAGTGGGGCGCCGCCTCAGCGTGGGCAGCTCCATGAGGAACTCCAAGGAGCAGGCCGCACTGCAGGAGGGCCACAAGCTGTGCCTGTCCACTGTCGACCTGGAGGTGAAATGCCAGCCAGACGCTGCAGGTACCTGCTGCACTGCCCTGGCCACCTAGGCCCACCTGTGCTATCCCCAGGCTGTCTGCTCCCACTTGGGTGGCAGGGAGTGGGCAGTCACCCCAGACCAAACAGCTGAAGACTTTGTGAGTTCTATCTCACTTCATCCCCTATGAGGAGGTGGCTCCACCCACCTTGTTTACAGATGAGCACCCGGAGGCTTACAGAAGCTAAGGAATTTGCCCAACTCTATTTTCCCACCTGTGTGGTACTGTGGGTTAAGGCACCAGACTGCAAGGTTGGCAGTTCAAGCTCACCAGATGCTCCTTAGCAACCCTATACAGGGTCGCTATGGGTCGGAACCAACTCGATGGCACTTAATAACAACAACATTTTCCCACCTTGGGTGGTACAAATAGTTAAACGTTCGTCTACCAGCCAAAAAGTTGGAGGTTCAAACTCACCCAGAGGTGCCTTGGAAAGTAGACCTGGCAATCTGCTTCTAAAAGCACACAGCCTTTAGTTACAGTACCCCCTCTTCCTGCATCTAGCATGGGGTGACTTGGTCAGCAAATTACGCATCCTTTTGCAATACACCCTAGCTCCTAGACGGTTGGGTAGGCTGTGGGCCCCTGGGGACACTGGCCACCTCTCTCCCTGAGTGTCTGGGAACTTCTCCCCACAGCGGCTCCCTCATTCATGCACAGTGTGTTCAGCCCCATCCTGCTGCTCAGTCTCCTCACCATGTGTGTCACCCAGCTACGGCTCATCTTCTACATGGGCGCCATGAACAACATCCTCAAGTTCCTGGTCAGTGGAGACCAGGACAAAGGTAGGTGGCCCTTGGGAAGATGGCCCCTGTGTCTCGGCTGGTCACACTCCCATCTGCCTGAGGTCAAGTCTGCTGGTCATCAGCTGGAATGCATTAGACTGGGCTGGACCCAAATGGCAGAATCCCAGGGCCTGTGCAAATGTCAGAGCCATTTTCCCAGAGCCAGCCCGAGCTGTTCTTTCATGTTCTCAGTCAGGGTTTGCCGGTTTAGGAGGACTAAAATAACTACATGTGTCTGGGGCGTGGGGGACATGGTTTTCAGTGCCTAAAGGGGAGGGTGACATGTGTGTTCTCTAGTGAAAACATTGCACCGCACAGCATACTCTACCCAAACGCAGAGAACATTCCCCCACAACCGCAGGGTTGGCATGGGGAGGCAAGTCCTGGGGATGGAGGCTTTGGGGAAGTTTCTCAGCACAGGGATCTGTATCTTGACTGGGAAACAAGGCGAGGCTTCCCAGTGTGTGGAATCCAGTTGAGGCTTGTTAACTCTGGTAAACATAACTGATAACTTACATGCTACTTCTCCAAAACAGCAGAGGTCTTCAGCTGATTAGAGGTTTTGATTCTACAAAGAAAGTCTGTACATCCTCAGGGCCTGAGCTGAGTCAGCCTTAGTCATTCTTAGAGGGACAAATGCAAAGATTAAAATTGTCAAGGGTTTCATTTTACTTGGTGCCACAATCAACAACCATGGAAGTCAAGAAGGCAAAGGACAGATTGCACTGGTCAAATCTGCTGTATAAGACCGCTTTAAATTAAGGTGTGCCTGACCCAAGCCATGGCATTTCAGTGGCCTCGTAAACATATAAAAACTGAACAAGAAATAAGGAAGACTGCATAGGAGCTGATGAATTCAAATTATGGTTTGGTGAAGAATATTGAATATACCATGCACTTTCAGGAGAACAATCAAATCAATCTTAGAAGTATGGTCAGAATGTTCCTTAGAAGCATGGTGAGACTTTGTCTCAAGTACTTTGGACATGTTATCAAGAGAGACCAGTCCTGGACAAAGGACATCATGCTTGGTAAAGTAGAGAGTCAGCAAAAAAATAGGAAGGCCCTCAGTGAGATGGATTTGCCACTGTAGTTGCTACAATTACCTCACACACAACAATTGTAAGGATGGCACAGGACCAGGTAGTGTTTTGTTGTGTTGTACCTAGGGTCACTATGAGTTGGAACTGACTTAGTTGCACCTAACAACAGGTGGACAAACATACTTGTTAAATCCTTTTTATTGGCAGTCACACTGGCTGATAACCTTTTGTTGGTTTCATTGGTTTTCACTTAACAGGAGATACCTTAGGCATTGTAAGGAAATCAAATACCATTCTTGAAACCAGACAAGAACTTCAGCTTTAGCAAATGAAAAGACAGCCTAAGGAGCCAGATAACATTTTTCTAAGGTAGAATGGGAGTTCTCTAAATGAGAAAACACTTATCAAGGCACCCATGTAAAAACTCATAATTAACATTAACATGCTATAGGCCTGAAGGGGGGTTCCTGGAGGAAAAACAACCTATTTAGCCTGGTTTAGTACAATGTTCCCCCCAAAATCCTGTCATGGGAATCCTTCCTAATGTAATATTCATTACAATCTGTGTATCATGTTTGGAGAAAACTGATCTATCATATCTAACCAAACCAACCTCAGCTTGTGTGTGTCCGAGTAGAACTATGCCCCACAGGGTTTCCAACAGCTGATTTTTCAAAAGGAGACTGCCAGGGTTTCTAAAGTGCCTCTGGGCAGACTCGAACCTCCAACTTTTTGGTTAGCAGCTGAGCTAACCACCACCCTGAGACTTCCATCATGTCCAAACACCTTTTTTTATCAACTAAACACACAGGACCAGCGAGATCAAGACCCTGAAAGCCCCTCCTCAGCCCTTGGGAGGTACAGCTCCCTGTTGTTAACTCGTCTCTACTACTCTGAGAAATTTTGATGCCCAAGAGAAATTTTTTCCAACTGTTTCCCACATTCAGAAAGTCAGTTTCAAGAAGTAGAGGAAGTTGAGCCAGGAAGCTTGGTCTGTGGTGACAAGGCATTGGTTTTCCCCATCCTGCTCCTGCAAACTGTTGCGACAACTCCATAGTCAGCTGTGTCCAGAGACGCTGCATCAGGATGGGGAAGCAGGGTGTACCCAAGGAGACCAATTCTGGCTGTTTGGGGGAGACCCTGGTTTCAGATGCTTTGGCTGAGCTTCTGGGGTTCTTTGACCTCACCCTTCCTGTAAGTGCGGGAGGTGGTTCTGACAGAGTGCTGTCCCCAGGGCGGGTATGGAGTGAAGGGCTCTGATTCTCCCAGCACTTCTTCATTCAGTGCCACTTCCTCATCATGGTCCTGGCCTGTGTCACAGGCCTGATTCATCAATGAGGCACCAGCTGCATATGACTGGGGCAGCGTCAGCAGGTGGCCGTGCTGGGCCCTCTGCTGCCTCTGCTTCTGAAGGCTGGCTAATGCTCAGCCTCCCCCAAGCTCCCTGCGTGGCAGATCTCCATGGGAAATGGAGTATGTTTTAGCCTGCCTCCACTCCCCAGTTCTCTCTAACAGCTTTTGAGATTGCTGCTGCTAACCTCTCTCCTTTCTGTCTTCTCACCATTGCTTTCTTGATGCAGTGATGGCCATGGGTAAGCAGGGGGAATTGTCAGTGAACATGACAGCATCCCCTCCCCTCCCAGGCAGCCTCAGTTCTCCCAAGAACCACTTCATCTCGAACTATACAATCCTCATGACCACCATTGCAGAGAATGGGTGGGGCTTGTTTGCCTTTAAAAATCCCATCATTTTGAGACCCGTTGAAGATTGTAACTTTTAATGTTAGAGCCCACATGAGTGGTGACTTGCTGGGATATTTCTAGAGGTAGTCTGAATCTTTAATTGGTAATTATGTGATTCCCAAATCACAGAGACTTCTTGGAGTTTCTGGGGAGGGGACAGTGTGATTTACTGGATTTCATTTACTGTTTCTTGGAAACCAGCAGGCGGGGGAATGGGAGCCAAGAATAAGGTGAACTGCTCCTTGCTCCAGCCTTGACTTCAGAGGTTAAGGTGTTTGGGCTCCCCTTCAACCCTACAATGAGTGACAGGGGAAGTCTGGGTCAGACTCCAGGTGGGACTTGTGCACTAGCCCTTGCCCAGACCCCACCCCCAGACCCTCTGCCAGGAGGAGCCCTCTCCTGACGTTGCCTGTCTTCTTTCCTAGTTGGCCTCTACACCTCTATCTTCGGCGTGCTCCAGCTGCTCTGCCTGCTGACAGCCCCTGTCATTGGCTACATCATGGACTGGAGGCTGAAGGAGTGTGAAGATGCCTCTGAAGAGCCTGAGGAGAAAGAGGCCAGCCAGTGCGTAGGCAGGGCCTGTGCTCTGGCTCCCAGCCCCTAGAGGAATAAGTCCAAGCAGTCAGTCGTAGGTTAAGCAGGGACAGGGTGGGTAGATAGATCATGTTTAAAGTCAGTGTGAAAGGCAAGAGAAAAATGTGTTCCAAGGTACTCTCAGAAGTCCTTTTAAATTCTCAGCTGTTCAGCTAGCACAGTATATGTTTTAGAATTTTCTTAGGGAATTGCTTTTGCATGTCAAAGCTTGGGAAGTACTGAGCTAAAGAACAAAGGCAGTGGGGGGAATGAGGAAAGTCTGTGTATAGATGATGGGGCATAAAACCATTCTGCCTTTAGGACAACCCTGAGATTGTTGCACCAGTGGTAAAGTGGGTGCTGATGATTTAAAGGTCTGCTAGCCTATATAGGGAGTAATACAGTCAGTGAATAGTACGTTGTTGCTGTAACTTTACTATGTGTTCCTAGATTTGTTCATGGTTGTGAGGCATACAGTGTTCTGGTGCCCCATCTTAGGTAAGGGTTGGGCTCTGAAATCAAGAGAATGTGTTAAACGCTGTTTTTTGTGACTCCACCTTAATATAATGAGCTGCTGTTTATTGTATTAGGCCCTGTGCCAAGCACTTGATGCACAATATCTCTACACACCCTGTGAGATGTGTGCTAGTATTAGACCCATTTTACAGATGAGGGAACTGAAGCTAAGAAGTTCAAGGAATTTGCCTGAGGTCACAGAGGAAGTGGTTGGCCTGGCCTCCCTACATTTGATATTCACTCTTGAAGGCGCAAAAGTGTTCTCCATGTCATCCGATTGTCGCAGGGGATCTGTGTGGGTGGTGAAGCTGGATTGGCAATAGTGAATTCACAAAGAAATAATTACAGAGACTGCTCTGTTATCTAGGTCAGATCCCACAGCCAAAAGGTTACTGTGCGCATTCTGGTTCCATCTGCTGCACATTTGTTTTCCCTTCACGCCCTCCTGCCCTGCAAGGGGAAATCCACTCATTTCCTTATGCAACTTGTTATTGGTTTCCAGCAAGGTTTGGGTAAAGTTGAAGCCAATGGTAAAGTTGAGGCTTGGCCACATCAGAACCTGGGCACACACTCCTTGTCCCCTCACAGTCATTTGGGATCAGTTTGCACTGAAGGCAGTGCTGTGTGTTGGTACCCATCTTCCCAGATCTGTGGTTCTCATTTAGTGCTTAATGGAGAGGGTAGAGTGGAAGTGTCCCTAGTGCTGGTCTAGTCCTGACTTGGCCCCTGACATGTGTTTGAGTGGCTTTGGCAGTCTTGCTCTGGTCCACATGTTAGGACTCCCTAACTCCTTCAGAGAACCCACCTCCAGGGAGCTCTCAGCTCCTGTTTCTCTGTTCTGTTGTCTCCACAGGGGTGAGAAAAAGAAAAAGCGGGACCGGCAGATCCAGAAGATTACCAATGCCATGCGGGCCTTTGCTTTCACCAACCTGCTGCTCGTGGGCTTTGGGATAACCTGCCTTATTCCCAACCTGCCTCTACAGGTAGGTATGGAGAAAGGGAAAGGCCAGGAGGTGGGGGTGGAGTGAGAAGAAGAGATGTTATTTAGAAACTAAAAGATGAATGATGGACCATGGGAGCGATCAACAAACCAAACAATGACTTTTCATTCATTTATTCAGTCAGCCAAGCAGCCAGCCGTTATGTATGGAGACCCTGTAATCACCAGGCTCTGTGCACCATGTGGGGGTGAGATGTAGTGAAATGGGATTGTCTTCTGAAAAGCTTCTCTCTGAAGGCATGTGGCTCACCTCAGTCTTGGGGCATCTTGCTTATCATGATGATCACTACCATGGCATTCCCTAAAACGATGTAGTAGGGTAGTTGTATAGCTGTTTCTTTTGCATTTTTTCAAACAACTGAATTCTGATGTCCCCAGAGGTCTGGGCAATCTGTGGTATTGGTGGGGACATCTGATCCCCCGGTACAAGAGTGTCCGCTGGGTCTTCACTCTGTGCAGAGTGGCTAAGGATGGTGATCATCTTGGCATTCAGGTTCAGAAGTTTCCTTCCTTTGCACGTGAATTCTGATTCTTCTGACATCTGACTTTTGGCAGAGAACTGAAAACTCAAGGTAGACCTTGACACTTGGCTCACACCACCCTTAGGCTCATGAAAGTGATCTAGCAGTAGGTGTGGTCCCAGCCCTCAAGTTTTTATGGACTTTGAAGGGACACAGGAGATGGTATTACTTCCAGTTGGGTGTAGCCCAAGTTCAGATGGTATCTTGGGCTAGGTCCAAGAAGAAAACAAGGTCCCTTCCTTTTGACAAGTGGTCACGTGGAGGGATATTAACACCCAGGTGTGCAGCATCCATGGATATGGTCATGTGTATGTGTTGATACTTTGTGCAAATGAGTAAACTATTAGAGACTTGTACCACTTCCAGTTGGCAGTGTCATTGCATTCTTGATGCCTCCTGGTGACTTCTCTCTGCAAGACTGGCAGCCCCTTGCCCTGATCACCTTGCCAATGGAGGATCAGCACTCAGTGGGAATAGTCATCTACCTTTTGTTTGATTTTATTCTCTCTGAAAGAAGAGCTGTAAAAGGGAAACCACATTTGCAGGTAGACCAGCAGCACATGTATGTGTGTGTATGTGCGTGTGTGTATGCATATTCAGGAGCACCTGTTGTTAACACAGACAATCGCTCCTGCCCCTCCACCACCCACATTCCTGGTAACAGGTCCTGACTGTTGAGCTAATGGCAGGGCTATGTACAGAAGACATGGAAAGCAAACAAAGGACCCAGTGGCAAAGTGAACTGCTCTTGTGTCTCTCTAGAATGATTAACAAGTGCTTCTCCAAGCCTGCCAATAGTGGCCTTCCTGGGACAGAGCCCTCCCAGACAGCTAGCAATGTAGAGGGACAGGAAGGACAGCCATCTGTCAGTAGGGTCTAGGGTGGCCAGGCAGGGCGATCCCTGGGCACAGTCCTCAGGTCAGCAAAGGTAGATGAGGTCATGACTGAAAGCTCCTGCTCAGTGCTGTGCGGATACACTGTATCTCACTCCTGCTTCTTCGAGCCTGGGGAGCCCAGGTTGTAGTGTAGTATTTGCTGTCAGCATAGCTGATTCCAGGCTACCAATGTGAGGTCAGTGAACGTGGAGTTGGGAAGAGATCTGCATGAACACCCCATTTTTGTAGTAATCTACCATTCAGATTGAATAGATCTGCCCTGGAGGCTTGCAGGGTGCCAGGCTGAGAGCTGTGATACAGACTTTCCAATGTTTTCTCAAGGCTCCTGGATGCGGACAGACACAGCAAAGTTGTCTGTCCCCAACCTGCTTCAGGAGCCTGGTTCCCAAGCTACAGATACAATAGTAAAAGTTACTCAAGACCATGGAGAATAGCAAAACGTAGTAAAATAACTGGAGTTTCTGAGGGGTACAAATGGTTAAGTGCGCGACAGCTAGCAGAAAGATTGGCCCTTCAAGTCCACCCGAGGTGCCTCTGAAAAATCAGTCCGGTTTTACTCTGACAACACATGGGGTTGCCCTGAGTCACAGTCAACTTTTGAGCATTTATTACCCTTATTTTAAATATAATGTGCTGAATTATAAACTTAGAGAATTTAATTTTTAATAATGACTGTGGTTAACAACCAGCTTGCCAATGTCCTGAAAATTCAACAGCTGCCCTGGAGCACTGGCACGAGCTGGCTCCAGCATGCCACTGCTCTGATGCCACCAGGCCTTCTAGGTGGGTGGGCTCCTCCCTGTCTTCCCTTCATGCCATGTCTCCCTCCCACAGATCATCTCCTTCATCCTGCACACGATTGTGCGTGGATTCATTCACTCTTCTGTTGGGGGCCTGTATGCCGCTGTGTAAGTCCTGGCACTTTGAGGGGGGTGGGGTCTGGTGGATGAGGGTGGAAGGTATGACATGGGAAAGGTTCATGGTGAGCTATATCCCTGAGGGGACAGGTAGCTGTTGGCTTCTGCTGGGTGTGTCAGCGAAAGGCCATACTTGGCAGAAGGTGTTTGGCTGGGCCAGCAGTTGCATACCCAGGAGCCTCCACATTTAACATGAACTCAGTGCCCATCTGGCTTCTCATTGTCTCAGAGCCACTGCTCAACCAAGTCGGGCTACCCCTGGCTGCTACCCGGGGACAGGCAAGAGTACGTGGCTTCTGGCTGCCCAAAGCTGAATATTTAAGTCACAGTGGCACTCAGCAAAGGGCAGTGACATGGATAACTGAGCCCAGAGTGGATCAGATCAAATAGCTGAGTTCTGGCCCATTTTTCAGGCGCTGGTGAAAATGAAACCTGCATCTCTTTGCAAGAGGCCAGATACCCACAAGGAAGGACAGTTGTTCCTCCTTCTCAGGCTTGGGGCTTGCCCACCAAACTGTAATCCAAACACCATCCGCTTTCTCTCTCTGACTCCAATTCCAGTTTGTTCCTGCTGGGATCCCTTCCCACTTCTGGGCAGCAAAGCCTATATTTGCTGAGATTTTTGCCTAGAACTTTCTCTCCCTTCCAGCATCGTCCCACGGGGGTCATTCCAGGTCTGCTTGCCCCACCCCCAGACTGGGAGGAAGTTGTGGCTGTCCTGGCAGGGTCTCAGTGAGCCAGGCTGAGAGCTCTGATGCTGAGTTTCCGTGATTACGCAAGGCTCCTGGATGCAGGCACAGCAAAGCTGCCCGCCTCCAACCTGCTTCCGGGGCCTGCTTCCCAAGCAGCAGATGCCGCTGGCACCACACTTTCCACTTGCTCTGCCAGACCCTTACTGGCTGAAGGCACACCTGGGCAGGGTGTGACCCTCTTGGAGTCTGGGGCTCATGCTGGTCCTAAAGAGAACCTGCCCTTGCAGAACTACTTGTTGTTGTTGTTATGTGCTGTGGAGTCCGTTCCAACTCATAGCAACCCTGTACAGGGTTTCCAACGCTGTAAAGCTTTACGGAAACAGAAAGCCTCATCTTTCTCCCGCGGAACAGCTGGTAGTTTCGAACTGCTGATCTTGCGGCTCACAGCCTGATTTGTAACCACTACGCTACCAGAGCTCCTGCTTAGAAGGAAGTAATCCAGGGACTAGCACCCCAGAGTTCTCAAGGGTCACTCCTACCCCTTCTTGCTCTGATACCCAAAGTACAGCCTGAGGCGCCAACATGCCTAGGCTTGGGCTAGGGCTGAGGAGGTGTCTGGGAAGTGGACAGGTGGCACATCAGTGACAGGCTCTCAATTGCCCCTGGCAGGTACCCATCCACCCAGTTCGGCAGTCTTACAGGCCTGCAGTCACTGGTCAGTGCTCTCTTCGCTCTCCTACAACAGCCCCTGTTTTTGGCCATGATGGGCCCCCTCCAAGGAGACCCTCTGTGGGTAAGAAGGGCAGTGGGCTGTGGGGCATGGGCTTCTGTTCCACCCTGCTGACTGGGAGCAAGAAGTCATTCAGGAGCTTCCAGAGTATCGGGGTGGGAGGTGAGAAGGGCTCTGAGTGGTGCAGGTGCTTTGCAATTGGTAGTTAACTTAAAGGTTCGCAGTTGGAACCCACACAACAGTGCCATGGAAGCAAAGCCTGGCAATCAGCTTCATCAAGATCATAGGCACGAAACCCCATGGAGTTCTACTCTAACACCTGGGGTCACTGTGCCTCAGAACTAACTCAACAGCCAATGGGCTTGCATTTTGGTTTTTTTAGTGTGGGTGGGTGACAGGTGAGACAAGTCCTCTTTGGGCCAGATTTGGGATAAATAGAAGCGAATTCCTGTCTTGCCTCTGTTGCTAAGGGCTCCAGACTCTTAGTGCAGTACAGTGACATTTTTCCCAACCCTGGCCCCGGTCCTGGAGATTCAGATCAGCAAGACCTTGGTGGGGGATTCAGGCCCTGAGGGCTGCTGTGTGGCCCCAAGGAGAACTATGCTCTGGGAATTTGGGGACTGGAATGTGGAATGACAGGTCCTGGAAGCTCTTGAATCTTCCTGCTTCAGTTTGCGATTATGATCTGTTCTCCTTTCCCAAACCTGAATGCAAGGAAGGGTCTTCAGCTGGGCTCTGCAAAGGTCACACACAGCCCACCGCCTGGCTCCCCATTTCCATGTGACAAAGACTCTCATCCCTGCCTCCTCAGGTGAATGTGGGGCTGCTTGGCCTGAGCATGCTGGGGTTCTGCCTTCCCCTCTACCTGATCTGCTACCGGCGACAGCTGGAGCGGCAGTTACAGCAGAAGAGGGAGGATGACAAACTTTTCCTCAAGATCAACGGTTCATCCAACCAGGAGGCTTTTGTGTAGCACCCACCACCTCAGAACTATGGCCTCCCGCCCATGCTTCAGTGACTGACTAGTATCCTCCTCCCCATGCAGAGGACCCCCATGCACCCCCAGGACCCTCTCCTTTACCACATTGGAGCCCTCCCTTCCTCCCAGGGTCCTGGTCCTGCCTTGGAACTCTGTTGTGGATGGATGATGGGAAAGGACCCAGGACAGGGTGATTTTCCTACTGCCTCAGGCAGGGGCTGCCCTGGGCTTTGCTCAGCTGCTCCTGAGGGGTCCTGGGGCCTTGGAGCTTCATGGAACCTTCAGGAGGAGCCAGGAAGACCCTCAGCAGGCAGGCTCTCTACTCAAAGTATCTGGATTCTGCCTCTTGCCATGGCAGAGGGGTCTGCCATCCACTGCCTGCCTAATGCCCCTCGGCTGCATGCCCACCGACCATGCCTGTCTGAGGACAAAGGCTTGCACTGTCTGCAATCCCCTCGCCTGGCCGCTCACCTCCTCCCCTGACAAGTCAGGCTGCCTGAGGAAGGAAGGACCCGCTTCCTGTTGTTGGTGCTAACTCCTTTGTAATTCCAGCCCCCTGTGGCCTGTCCTCCTATTAGAGGCCTATGGAGAAGTCCCACTGGCTTAAAGCCTGGGCAGGGATGGTGGGCTAAGTGAACACACTAAGCCTTCAGAGGCCCTGGAAGAGGCTAATGGCTCAGTCCCTAACTTCTCTAAGGGACCAAAGCGGGATTAAGTTTCCACTGCCACTCTTAATTCAAGCTGAAGAAAATTAAAGGGGCCCACCAGGGTATGCCCCTGCAACACAACTGTTTTTGTGGCCGTGAAAGTGAGGGTGAGGCTGTGGCTGACAGACATTGAGGTCCAGGCCTTAGGGAGAAAGTGGATTTGTGAGGGACTGAGGGGGTGTATGAATCCATAGTATTTGTGTGTGTGAGAGATGTACTTTTGGAGCCGGGGATGGTAGCAGGGTGTGGGTTCTGGGCGTCGGCGCTTATCCTCACTGATGAGACCAGGCTCTGACTCTGCTCAGAGCCCGGGACTGGTCTAAGACGCCCTGGCTGCAGGACCACAGCTCCCCCTGCTGGCCAGCTTCTCCATGCCACCCTTCCTGTGCCAGGCTGCTTGGCTCACCAACCCATCTCCAACTTTCCCCTAGAAATGTGTCTGAGACGTCCTGGAAGCACTGAGAAGAATGGGTTGATTTTTAGGGTTTTAGGTTTTCTTTTAAGTTTTTTCAGATTCCTTTTTATAAAGCAATAAATCCATTTTCTCCTGGTAAGGGATGCCCCTTCTAACATATCACATGCTTTGAGCTAGAGAAGAAAATGTGGACCAAGATTTTCTGCCACTGACCAGCCCTAATTGTACCAGCTGCTCACCATCTTGCTGGATGACAAACCCTTTCTTGGGTGAGGCAGGAGGACCAGAGTAAAACCTTACCCCCACCTACCCCAACAGAGTTGTTAATTGCCACGGAGCCCACCCCCACCCCTGGTGATCTTATGTTGCCTAGTCTTGGTACTTTGGAGTCTGCTGTTATGGCCATTGGAAGCTTTTGTCCATTTCACTGAACTGCTTGTCAACAGTTCTGTAGACCTAAAAACATAAACCACCCCCTCCTCCGCTACTTCAAATGCGAATCCACTGTGAATCCTGACCCCTGGTCAAGGACCTGGGGGTTCCTCTTGAGTCCAAGATATGAATACTGGTGACCCCAGAAAGCTGCCAGCTCAGGACAGAGAATCAGGACCAAATTCAAGCTCTGCATTAACAGTTAAACATCTTGAACACACTTAACTTTATAGGCTTCAGTCAGTTGTTGTTATGTGCCGGGAAGTCGGTTCCAACTCATAGCGACCCTGTACAGGGTTTCCGAGGCTGTAAATCTGTACGGGAGCAGAAAGCCTCATCGTTCTTCTATGGAACAGCTGGTGGTTTCGAACTCCTGACCCTGAGGTCAGCAGCCCAATTCATAACCACTACGCTACCAGAGGCTTCAGTCTACTCAGCTATAAAATGACAAGATAGAACTAGATCAACATTTCCCAAACTCGTCCTCAGCACACTAGTTCTGTTACTGGTTATTTTGATTTTCTTATTTTAAGTTTGAAAATTAGGAACTGCTGAGTTAAAATCAAGCACGTTTCCTTACAGCTCACTCTAAGGGTATAGACTTGTGGCTCTGTGAGAGGGACATGGTATGCTGTTTTCCCATCTAAAGCCCCCTCCCCCTGTGTGGCCCAAGGACCACTGCACTGGAGCCACTGGGGTGCTTGCTTAATGAAGCCCTATCTGGTGGTTCTGGTGTGCCCAGGCTGGGACCCACAGGTGAAAAAGCATGCATATTGGGGACATGCTACCCCAGGGGATTAGTGAGGGCCCTTCAGGTTGGGAAGATGTGATCTGGCCAAATCAAAAGCCTCTCCCTCTCCCCTACCCACCTACAGGGTATTGGCACTTAGTGGGAAGAAGCTGGATTTGAGAAACTAGAACTCAGGGTGGGAAACAGTCAAGAATCAACAAGCTGAGGCATGAGAGTGGGAACAGGTACAGAGTCTGGGGCCAAGTGGATTTGTTCCCACCTGTGCCCCCAGCCCAATCAATGGCCAGTCATTCTGCCCTGACTGTACAGAGTTGATAGGTTACATATCTTCCTGTGGTTATCACTGAATAATGAGAATAATTCAGAAGTTACAGAGATGGGATCATCCTTATTTTACAGCTGGAAAAATTGAGGCCCAAAGAGGCTCACTTCCTCAAGGCAAAAACTAGGATTCACATGTGGGACTTGAGTCCTTGGAGCATCCAGGAGCTTGAAGACCAGGACATTCTGTTCAGAGAGGCAGTGCCCAGGTCATCAGGCACCTGGGGCAGGGTGCCAATCAACTCAGAAAGGGGAACTTTTCTGGGGAGTGGGGTGAGCTCTGCTCAAGAAGTTATTTTGACCCTGGAAGCTGCTTTTTCTTTGAGGGAGCAAACACCTAGTCACCCCAATTCCCCTGGCACCCTGGGATGGGAAAATGATCACCAAATCACCCTCCTTGTTCTCCATACTGGAGGTAGGGGAGGAGGAAGGATCAGGAAGTGATGCTGGGCCCTGGGTAATGAGGCCATTGTCGGGGCAGTGCCAGAAGCCCCTCTTCTTCCTAGTCTCCCAGCGGTTTCTGGGATCCAGGCTTCCTTTGTGGTTGGCCCCCCTCAAATGCTCTTGACTTTTTCCTGTAGCTCCTGCTTCGGGAGCCTAAGCGTGGGAAGGTTCCAAGACTTACCATGGTTTCAGGCCTGTGTGGACTTCTTTTTGGTTTGCTCAGTTTTCACACCCTTGTACTCAGGATTCTTGTCAGTTCTGACCCACAGCAACCCTTTACAGGGTTTCTGAGGAGTAGTTGGTGGGTTTGAACCACCACCCTTGAAGTTAGCAGTCCAGTACTAAGGATGGAGAAGAACCACTCAAGCAAGCCTTCATTATCACAGCCCTAGGCTGTGTCACATGAGGAGAGCATCAGATTTGCCTAGATCAAAGGATGCTGAAAATGGGGACACCTAGAACATGCACTGGATGGCCCCAGATAACACAAACACATTCAGTCCAGTGGAGTTAAGAGTGTACTTGGGTGGATTAATCAGTGAGCACTGGCTTACAGTAAAGGAGGTATGCACAGGCTTAATGTTTACTAATCTGTAATACACAGTTTCACATAGGCTTCGGATGTAATGACATCCATATGAAATCGTGTACTACAGATCAGTAAACGCATCCTATACATATCTTGCTTGTTGGGTAATCCATCTCTGGGTGCATGCTACGTCAGCCTGTGGAGATCTGAGCAGATATGCAGCTAGGGCTGGGTGACTGGGACAGCCGTGGGCTCTCTGTGAGTGATGATGCCACCCAACCGTCAGGCTTCCGGGGCCCTGAAGTAGCAGCACCTTCCTACCCCATTGATGTCTTAGGGGCAGTGAAATTTCTCATTACTGTAAATTACCAAGCAATCAACTCAAGGGTGGGAGTGCATTTCCCCCAAATATACCAAACTAGTTCCCTTTGAGTTGATCCTGACTCATGATGATACATGTGTGTTAATAAAACAACCTTTTGGAAGCAAATTACTAGGCCTTTCTTCTGAAGTGCCTTTGGATGGGTTCAAACCAGCAGCCTTTTGGTTTGTAGCTGAGTGGGTAACCGTTTGCATTCAGGGAATTCCTTTGTCCCAAATACTCATAGAACATGGAATTATGAGGGTTAGGAGCCCAGGGCCCCCAAAGTGAGGGGCTTTTTCACAGACCGAGGTCTTCCCCTGGGGTGGAGGGGTCTAGTGGTAAGCGGGTAGACTGAGCCTATCCCATACCCACAGTCTTAGGCCTTGGAATGAGTGAGGACTGGATTTTCCAAGTTTCATAAAGGACAGGTAGCATTCTCCACATGGGTACCTGCACAGCTCCAGCCTCTCCCTGCAGCTGCCAGCCTCCCACAGTCTTACCTCTGCTGTGCCCTTGGTCTATATAGGCAGCATGTCCACCTCTGAAGTTAGTCATTCTCACCCTCCTGGAGACGTCAGAAACAGCCAGAACCACCAGCAGCTCCAGGTCCCTGACCCTTCCCATGCCCGAAAGACACTACTGGAAGGAGCAAAAGGGAGAAGTTTGTTGCTTCCCAGGTGTTTGTTTAAACTCCAGCCCTCCGTACGACACTCTTGGTGTCTCGGTTTCTTCAGCTGTAAAGTGGAGGTGATAACCCACTTGCTGTGAAGCTTGGTGAAAATGTATGTAAAGCATGGCACAGTCAAATACCTGGCACTTGATAGACGCTGACAAGTGACAGCATTATCATCTCTGCTCCCGTACAGATTTACAGTCTCAGAAACCATAAAAAGCAATTCTCTCTTCCATAGGGTCCTAAACAGTCCAAATCGATTTGATGGCAGTGGGTTGTTTTTTGTGAGGAGTGGAGAGTGCAGATACCACAGGGACCAAGGAACAAGGCACCCCTGTTCACCCCTCTAACTAGGAGGCTTTAGCCAGCTCTGAGCAAGACAGACTCTTGGCCAAGTAGACAAGGAAGTGCATTCCATATAAGCTGACCCCTCTCAGAACCTCTTCCCTAAGCAAAACCTTAAAGTTATCTCCTAGTTTGCTTTTCACATTTTGCTAAGAGACTTGGTCAAAGAGCTTCTCCAAATCATCTCTGTGCAGCTTCTCTAGCAGGTGTAGGTGGGCTAGGGTGTCTCCAGCCTCAGCATGTCAGCAGTACCTCCAGGCACCTTGTGAAACTGCTTGGCTGGATCTGTGTACGTGTGTCTTGTGGGTGTATCAGGGAGTGCGTGTACACAGAGCAGTGTGGAGGAGCTAGTCTATGTGCCTCACTGCCTGAATGGAGAAGAGGAGGGAAGGGTCTCACCTCGCTGAATCCCTCTCCAGTCCTGGAAAGAACCTTTCTTTAAGGGAGCAGAAAGCCTCATCTTTCTCCCGCGGAACAGCTGGTAGTTTTGAACTGGCTGCCCTTGAGGTTAGCAGCCCGACTTGTAACCACTATGCTACCAGAGCCTGAAGGGTGAGTTCCTCATTAACAAGGTCAGTACGGTGTGGCTGACAAGTCTGCAGCTGGTCCTGGCTCTTCCCTGCCCTTTTGCTGTGTTTTGCACTTGGCATACTTCCTGGCACACAGTA